AGCAACCTAGAGTACAGAAAAGAACTGACCAGAGCCCAAATAGATCTCCCTTCTCTTTCCTGATTTTTGGTCATACTCAAGAGCTCTCTAAATCAAACTGAGCAAGGCTTTCAGTTTAGTAAAGTGGTTTTTCTGTATCCGGCACAGCTCCAATTCTGATATGCTTGCAGCGGGCACGTTTTTTTTCCCTAACAAGGTAGTGGGAATATGTTAAGATCAAAAGGAGAGAAATTTTCGGCACAATCTCTGAGCTGCTACTCAGTGGGCGACAATAACATATTAAAGCTGATCTGTGAGTTGGCACTTTCTGTTTCTGAATGAATCATCCCTCAGTTTAAAATAAGTAAGTGTTGGGTTATTTTAAGTAGGTTTGCAGAAGTTGAATTAATTGCTTTGTAAATCCAAGTATTGTTGAGTCTGGGCTAGTCACTACCTGTAGAACCTCGCACTTCCATGCAGTGTTTGTATTTTGAATGGACTGAGTTTCAGCAGCGGGGACTTCGTGATTGTGCCACCAAGGTTTGCAGAATGGCCATCTGCACATGCAAAATGGCCAATTGCACATCCATGCAAATTGGGTCTCAGTGAGCGAGTCACCGAGCTATGATTGTGAGAGGTCTTGTTTCTGGTTCCGAGTGTTCTCTTTTCTCAGTTGTAGATGACCAGAATAGCACATTACCTGGGTCTCCAGTGTGCAGAACTGCTACACGGGGTGCAGTTTTATTATCTAGTCTTCTTACACCATGAACAGGGACGTAGTCACAGTTGCATACATTTACATTGCCCAAGCCATTGTGTAAACTGACTGTATGTTGCACTTGTGGATGTAGTTAAACTCTGCATATACCAATGAGTGTTTCCATAGTAACTGATGTACTTCAGAGACGGGGTAAAAAAGGACAGGGAAAGATCAAGATAAGTGACATAGCATGTGATGGTGTGGAGTGCTGTAACAATATATTCTGTAGGTTTTGATTCCTGTTAATTCTTTATTAAGCTGTTTTAAACTACAGAGCACACAATAAAATTATCAGCTAGAGCAGTGGTTCTGAATCCTTTTGGACTCGAGGCTCCTCTCACTCCCAACCCACAGCTCTCCATCCCCACAGCCCTGCCCGTGTGTCTCACTCCTGACCTGCTGCTCCCTGCTCATGGGGCATGGGGTGGGGGGTGTGGGGCAGGGGAAGGGGGCATGTGCA